GCGGCCGGGTCCCCCCTGCAGCCCATCATCAAGGGTAGGTCGGCGGGAGGGGACGGTGGGGTCGGGGTTCGGCTGTTGGGGCCGCCCGTTGGGCTGCAGAGGAGGGCGGGCCTCGTTTTAGGAGGCCTTGGGGCCCTTGTGGCTGCCCTTAGGTTTCTCCATAGCCGCTGGTCACAGGAACGCGGCCAAGCGTCTCCTGAGCACCTGGGTTTTGTGCTAGTTAACCTCTGGAACCGTACAAGCTTTAAGTATTTTCCCCTAAATCCTCTTTGATGTAATGGTGTCATTCTCTGTATTTGCAAGACTCCTTCTATAATCCTTTTTTTTTTTGGGGGGGGGAGGGGTGGGAAGGATGAGGTGGGGTTCAGGTTATTGCTTCAGGGGCAGAGGGCAAAGTAGGATAGTTGCTTTGGATGGCAGTGCTGGCTCAGCGCCAGCTTTAAGCGCTTATGGAACCATACTGTTTTTCTTGGACTAGTTCTCATTTGATACACTACCAGAGCTGTCGTAAAGTAAGCGTGATTTTCCTTTGCAACAGCCAAGTGTATTTCTCCTATTTTATCCATACAAGTATCTGTGCATGTATATATACAGGCATACGTGTGTATAATGTTGTAAAGGTATTTTTAAGATTAATCTCCAATTCTTTAGCTCTGGCATACAGGGAACAAGAGAACACTGACCGTTTTCCTTTGTGGTCAACTTTCCTCCTGTCACTCACTGCAGAAAGCTCCCTTATCTTAAGCCATGAGTCTGTGTAGAACTGATGTCTTTAGTTCAGCGCTGTCTCAAATTTGAACCACTGTCAGTCAGGTCTGGAACCTGCGTATTGAGGAGGAGGATTGAAGGGGAGGGTGCTGGGACACCCCACGGATGCTGGGGTGATGGTCAAGGGCCTGGAGACCCACGTGGTCTTCTTGATCCTGGTTGGGGAAGGTGGGGTGGGGAAGAGGATCAGAAGGATGCTGGAGATCAGTGATGTTTTGCACAGATGGTGTCAGCAATATGACTTCTATGACCATAGTTTCCTGAGGACTGGAAGAAAGTAAATGTCAGTTTTGTCTTCAAGAAGAGTGAGGAAGAGAATCCAGGGAACTACAGACCAGTCAGCGTCACCTTTATTCCTAAGAACACGAAGGACCAGCTAATCCTGGAAACTATTTCTAAATACATGGAGGACAAGAAGAATGAATTTACGAAGGGGAAATCAGACTTAACTAACCTGATAACTTTTTATGAGATGAGCGGTCTGATGGATGAAGGGAGAGCAGTGGGTGTTGGTTCTCTTGGCTTTAGTAAAGCTTTTGACACCATCTCCCATAACAGATTCCTAGAAAAAAATAAGGATAAAGTAGGAGGTAGGCAAGTGGACAGTGAGGTGGAGTGGGAGCTGAACTGGCAGTTTCAAAGGATTGTGTTCAGTGGGTGAAATCCAGCTGGAGGCTGGACACTGGTGGTGTTTTACAGGGGTCAATACTGGGCCACTACTGTTTAACATCTCTGATAATGACCTGGATCAATGGCCAGAGTGCACCCTCAGCAAGACTGCAGATGATGCAAACCTGAGAAGAGTGGCTGATGCACCCTAGGGTTGTGCTGCCATTCAGAGGGACTCGGACAGACTGGAGAAATGGGCAAGGAATGGGCTCATGAAGGTCAGCAAAGGGAAGTGCCAGGTGTCATCCCTGGGGAGGAAAAGCCCCCTGCCCCAGGACAGGCTGGGGACCAAGCAGCTGGAGAGCAGCTTCGCAGGGACAGACCAGGGGGGTTCTGGTGGACAGCAAGTTGTCCATGAGCCACCAGCGGTTCCCTACAGCCAAGAAGACCAAACACTTTGTGGGCTGCGTGGCCATGAGATGGAGGGATGTAATCCTTCTCCTCTGCTGAGTCCACATCTGGAGTGCTATGACCAGTTCTGTCCTCCCTGGTATAAGAAAGTTATGGACTTACTGAAGAGAGTCCAGTAAAGAATTACAAAGGTACCTAAAGGATTGGAGTATGTGTCATTTGAGGAGAGACTGAAAGAGCTGGGATTGTTCAGCTTGGAAAAGAGAAGAAACGGGACGTTTTATCTATGTGGTAAGATGGGACGGAGTAATGAAGATGGAGCCAATTTTTCTCTCGTTCTTTCCCTCTTCACTGTGAGGGTGGTTGAACATTAGAACAGGCTGTCTGGAGAGGTAGTGACTGTCCTTGGAGATTTTCCAAATGTGACTTGAGATGGTCCTGGGCAGCTTGGTCTAGGTACCCCTGCTTTAGCAAGGAGATTGGACAGGACGAGGTCCCTCTAGAGGTCCCTCCCAACACCAACCCTTCTGTGCTGCTGTGAATGCTGACCTTCACACGGAGAAGTGTGACATGCAGAATACTACGTTTACTAAGTTGTCAGTTTGCTGAATAGATAGAATACCCAACAGGTGTTATCCTGCTTTTCTGTTAGATTCATAGGTATCTTGTTAGCAGTAGTGCCTCTTGCTTTTAAGTGTGGTGTGCTGCCTAGGATGGGGTGAGTTAAAACTAACTTTTGGCTTCCTTTAATCTTCTAGAAGCTGGGGAAATTCATTCAAGACTACTGGATCACAGACCGGTAATTCAGGGAGAAATACGTTACTTCATTAAAGAATTTGAAGTAAGTATTTTTATCTTATCATATGCTAAAACCTGTCATAGTTTGGAACTTTAAACAATTTTAGCATCTTTTTAGGGAATATAGTATGTGTGTAAATTACTTCAGAAAAATCTGATTTTTCTTATACCTTAGAGAGGTCTAATTTGCTCAAGGAAAATATTGTTAGCGAGTATGTCCTTTAATTTTGCTCTTATTTTTGTTCTGTGAAAGAATATAATGTCACTGGAAGAGAAGAGCTTGAGTTTATGCAAAGTAAGAAACCATTCAAAACAGGATAGTTGGCTGCAGATAAGGTTGGCGTACTAAGAGTGTAAAAAATCCTTTATATACAACACTGCTTTTGGAATTGTAATGCAGTTTCCACAAGGTGGCAGCAGAACTTTAGAAAAGTATAATGTTTTCCCGATTAAAGGCTGTTACTAAAAGTAGTTCCTCATTCTTAAATAATATGGGATTTAAAATCTTAAAATTATTTCTGAAAATGTAATATGTAGCCCTGGTAGTATTCTATTGTGCAGAAATTATTACAATTTTCATTTTAATGCAATTTTTGTTTCCAAATATAGTCGTTTTAAGTAAAGCTAGTTTGTATTTATGGAAGTTTAGCAAATAAGAATGCAAACTAAATCATCATCAGATTGGTGTTATATGGGTTTGAGGAATGATAAAGGAATGATATATCTTTTTTGATTTTTTTTTTCCCTAAATAAATTAAAGGGTACAATAAATAGTTTTACATAGCTTTTCATAGGAAGGAAATTCAAACATGGATTACAGAAATAGAAAAGTTTTCTCTAGCCTCAGGACTTGATTAAATTCATGTAGCTTTCTCATATTTAAAATCTCATTTTCTTTCTTATGTAGATTTCACGTATTTTTAGATCTGTGCTAGGAATTTAATACCTGGTTTATGCTTTTGGGAGAAAAATAGGACAGCAAAGAATTATCCGTATTTAGAATTTCTTACAAAAATGACTCTCTTCTCTAACTTTGCAGTTACAGACATTTTTACTCATAATAGAGCTATGCTCTCTTTCCTTTCCCCCATACTCCTAGTGATTAGCATCTAGTGTCTAAAGATTTTTTTTTTGAGTGAGAATATGTAGATTTGCATTCAAAAAGTCTGGAGCTACTTTACTTCTCTGTGTCTCTGTTTCTGAAATTTTAAAATGGATATATTAATAATTTAAGTGATATGTAGTGTTTAGTTGTTTATTATTGCTATATGATTAGCAGCTTGTAGTACAGGAATGCTTATCTACAAGTCTACCTCTAACCTTAAAAGGAAAAAAAAAAAAAAGGAGTTTAGAATAGGTCCCAGAATCCTTTTTATTATATTAAGGAAAGTGCCAGGGAAGTTCAAAGTAGAATTAGTGCTATGGTTTCAAAAAGCTAGATTTCCTCTTTTCATGTAGAACAATAAATCATCATCTGCTTCATCTAAAAAAAAAATCATCATGATCAGCAGTAAGGCAAAAGGGCCACCACATTAATCAGTTATATGTTATCTTTTAGTGTTGACTCCATTAATTTGCTTCAGTGAAAAGAGTCTTATTTGCCTTTTTTTAATTCTCTACCATATGGGATCTGGAAGGCCAGACATCAAGAAAGTAGCATCAGTGCTATTCTCTTTCTCCATAACAACTCAGCTGCAAAAATGCTTAAAATTATAAAAGTGCTTTTAAACTCCGTTTCTCTCTTGGTTTTGATATACAGTTATGTATTATAGATTAATATATAAATCATTTTTTTGCATAATGTTTTATCCATATAAAACATTATTTTATCTGTGATATTAAAGAAGCAGGGTAACACTTTAATAGACAATAGTACAGTCTGTTGAGATAAAGCTACTAGTTTATTAACTGGGAAAACAACTTATTTTACCAAGTGGAATTCCTTATTAGACATCTACTCATCAAATCATTTTATTTTGTATATCTCATATGTATCTCATTGAGAATCACTGGAAAGGTTGGAAAGTCTCCCTTCAAAAAAATGTCTGTAAGTAGGACACAGATAGCAACAGCAAATGAACGTCGCAAAATATAAAGATCCTTTCTCTTTCACTCTTCTGGCAGGAAAAACGTGGCCTCCGGGAGCTGCGAGTGCTTGAGAATCTGAAAAACACAACCTTTGAGACAAATGAACACATTCTTCCAAAGTGTGAGCAGGCGATGCATGACAATCTACATGAAACATTCAAGAGATGTAAGCAAGTAGCTTCTTATTTTTCTCGTTGCACCATTTTAAAGAATAATGTAGTTTGGATTTTGGTTTCAGATTGGATTTGTGGAAGAATTGCCATTTTTAGATAGTTTTCTGCTATTGATGTGCTTTCTTAATCATATCATTGAAATGTCAATGGGGAACAAACAGGGACGTATTCTGCTATTTATTGGTCCAGCCAACACAACTGTGGTTAAGGTTACACTGGAGTTTCATGTTGACTTCAGGAGAAGCTATTTCAGCTCAGTTTTATACTATGCACTTACAAACAGGAGGTTCTGCTGGGAAAGCAAAATATTGATTCCCTTTATTCAAAGTGAAACTTTGCAGGTGCCTAGATATGAAGTGTGATGAGTTGAGTTTTATTATCTTTAGTCATAAATAGGTAAGTAGTAATAATACTTATATATTAATACTAGTTACATAATTATAGCCATCTAGCCATCTGCTTTTTCTTTTGTCTGGCAGATTTTAGAAGAAAGAGTTTATAAAATGTTGTACTAATTTTGTCAATTTTGTGTCTTATTCATCAGGATAGCTTCTCAAAAAGGTTAAGAGGAGTGTGACTATAAAGCTTTATCTGGAGCTAATTTTATGAAGTTAAAGCAAGTGAATATAGGGGCTTGGGGGTTGCGTGTGTGATATGTTGTATAAACATTTGTATTCTTGTTACTCTTTATATGGCTGCTCACATGTGCAGGATAGTACAGGTAGATATTCTTGCACATATAACAAAGGTTACAGGAAAATATTTGAAACTTAGAATTTAGCTGTACAAATAAAGTATCTGTTCTAATAACTTCTAAGTGGCAGTGCAGCTTTGATATCGCACCCTGACTTTCTAATATTCAACCATGAGATCCATCATGATTAGTACTGCTTCAAGACGATGGCAGATGAGTATGGTGTTCCACTAAACTATAGGCTGTATTAGTGAGAGAGGGATGACTGCTTTGGAGAAATTAGGTGATTTCATTCTGCATCATGTTCATACAATAACTGCTAAATAAGTTTTAAAAAAAAGTCTGGATAGGAATACAGTTCCTATTTCTACTGATAAGTGTTCTGAGATTTAGTTTCAAGATAGAAGAGGCTTCAGCATAAAGGTGTTTTTTTTAAAGATGTCTATTCTATTTGGTTGGAAAAATACGCAATGAAAGAAACTAAACAGCTTTATCACTGCAATTAAATGGCTTTATCACTGCAAAGCATTTCCTGCAAATGGTAGCAAAGCTTTTTCTTGCAGAGATAAGTATTCCAATGGGTAAAAAACATAGTGTATGCATAGAATATTTGACTTGCAAAAGCCTTATGTCTTTAAGTGAGTTTCTTTTTGATTTAGAGCAGCAAATTGATCTATTGAAATTTGTTCATTTTAGTGCAAGCTGTCAACGATAGGATCCGTAGATTCCAAGAGAAGGAACATGAAGAAAAGAAGGTAAAGGATGGTTGGATAGATTTTTATAGTGCAACTAAGTAAGCCTGTTATATGCTTGTACAACCAGTCTACTTGCCTTCAGTAAAGTAAAACTTTGAAATTCCTATTTCTGTATTTTATGTACTTGGAGTAAAACTTCTTATGGAGTAATTTCTGTATTTATAAAATGCATACTGTAGTGTGCCACCGTATATTTTAGGAGCAGTCGTGTAATGGATCCTTAGGTCTTCCTGCAATCTCCTGATGTGTGGAAACATTTTATTTCCTTTGCCTTACTTTCCTCTCCTAGCTCAGAGTGTAATAATTGTCACATACAGGAAAAGTTAAAACAGAAAAGTGTATTTTCTGTGGAACAAAAAACATCTACTGACTTACCAGAATGGAAATATAAATCTTTCCTAGGTAGTGCAAAACATTGAGCATATTATACATGTTGCTTGTTGAAAAGGAAGTGTTTTTTCACTTGTGGATGGGTTGTTTAATGAAGGGCTATATTATAGGAACATGCGAATCATTTTCAGTTGGCTACACTTTGCTCATTTGAAGTAAGTGTGCTCTGAATCTAAAATTTGGAAAATTATATGAGAAATTATTTTGACATTTTCCCATAATTCTTTCATGATTGAAACTTATTTTACTTGCAAAATTGTTACAATCACAGAGTGGTTTAGAAAAACTGTGGACATTTCTTTGGCTGTCATGCAAAATAGGCTGTGCATTGATTTATGTTAACTGATAGCCAGATTTTTCTTTCCTTTTTGTAATCAATGGTGACCAGTTCAGTTGCAGTTGAATACTGGTACTGTGACGGGTGCAGTACTGAACCTGGAGCTTGTGTATGGTGTTTTAACACAGTAGAGTGTACGTATTGATAGAAAACTTTAGTAGGAAAATCTTATAGTGCTGTTGCTGCTGTTTTTAAAGTAAAATAGAAATAAGTTTTATAACCTATTAAATTACAGTAACTGTTCTTTTTTGTAATATTAGCCTTATATTTCTGCTATTTTTTTTAAGATGAACTGGTGCAATACTGATGGCTATTATTTAGGATTTTTAGTATTTCTTTAAGATTGTATAATAAGACTTCTTGGCTTAAAAGTTTCCCAAAGTGACAAGTAGTGAGGAGGTAACTTTTGAATTGCCCATAAAATTGGCTCTGTAGTTCAGCAGTTTGAGAAGAAATATTTTTTTCCTCATTCTTCTTTCGCTGATTGAATGTTATAAAGAGTAGCATTTCTGTAAGATCTAGTATTAAGTGATTAGTGTTTGCAGTCCTCAGTGAAATTAATAGCATTAGTTTTTGCAGTTAAATTAATTCAATTTCTGCTGAGTTAAATGAGTTTGAAAATTATTTGTTTTACTAATTATCTTTGCAATTCCTTTCAGCTACTTTGTTAGCTACTTTATCAGTAAAAGAAAAGCTGTATTGTCCCAACCTGCTGTCTTATTTTAGGTGTAAAATAATTTGTGCTTACAGGAGTGTGGACTGAAAGAAGTATTCATGAAATCCCTGCCTTGTTGATTACTTTCCCCATTTAGATGGTAACATTTAGCTGTTATTTCAAGCCGTGTATCACTTAAAGTAGGGGAAAGTAGAGAAGATTTAATCCGGAAACTCTGTAAACATGCATTCGTGTATTGTATTTCTTTTTCTTTTTAATTTAGTACTTTCTTTTGTATACAGAGGATGCAGGCTTATACTGGAAGTTGCTCAAGATTTCCCATAATAAGCCTCCCCTCTTATTTTTTTGTAACATTGACTAGCACAGTAACAATTCCCAAAGCTTGTCTCTACCTTGAATGTTTGTGGTTGTTTAACTTCAGAAAAAAAAAGAGAGTAGTCCAAGCAATATTAAGAGCAAGATTTACTGAAATATGAATATTTTCCCAAAGGCTGGTTTCTGGCATCACCATTGACTGTAAAACAAAAATAGAAATAAGTACAAATTGTTTTATGATTCTGTACAGTATATAAGAAAATTTTGCTGATATTGTATCTTTGAGGTTCAAGCAATGTGCAATGTTGGACTAAAAAATGATTTCATAATCAGATTAATGTTTTTTTTTTCCGAATAATTGATGTCCCAATGTGAGGAAGCAATCAACAGGGCAAAGCTATGTTAGTGCCATGTAGAGCAGTAAGCTATTTAGAGGAATAGAACTAGAGTTCTGAAAGTGTTATTACTCAGTTTTACTATTTCCTTGAGATGACAAAAGATAGGATTTTAAATTAGGTTGTGCTCTGTAAAGTTGTTCTCTGAAAATATTCTGTTTTCATGTTGACTTGTGCTGTTCTTTGTGAAATTTTAGAGTTCTCTAATTTGCAACCCTGAACCCTAAAAGTCAAAGTATCTCTTTATGTTTTACGAGTCATCACAAGCAATCCAAAATTTGCAATTAAAAGTGAGGAGTTTCATGCATCTTCATTTCAAACATTTTCCTGCCTGGACTACTCTGCATACAGCCAGCATGAAGCATTTGGGGAAACTGCTGCTGGAACTAGGACATCTGGAGATATAAACCATTTCCATGTTTAGGTGGTAGCTAGCAGAAGGCAAAGAATCTGTTTTGGATTCTAATATGCTGGTTACAAACCTAAACCCCTTCGTAGGTCTCTGACCTCCAGATGGGTTCTCTGTCCACTATTCTCTTAATTACTGTAAGGATCTGGGTGTTTTCTGACACCTCAGCAGCACATTACTAGTCTAGAAAAAATAAGGCCAGCATCTACAGCTGACAGCACAGAGCAGCAGCAGGTTTTCCGGGAAGAGTCAAGATTGTGTGTTTGGTGTGCAGATGACAAACCTCATGGAACTCTTCAGAAGAGAACAGCCCTTCACATAATGCATTGTATCTTAATTGTATGGGTTTTTTTTTCCCCCTTCTTCTTCATACAAGTGGCCTATAAAGGTGGTTATAATCATTGGAACTTTGTATGTGTCAGCATTACCAAGTTCATACAAATCTGTAGGGACTGATCACCCTTGCTGTTGTCATACTTGTGTAATCAAACTGTAGGAGATGCTTAGAGTGTCTTGTTTTAGTTTTCAGTTCATAGGTAGTAAGAGGAGGAAGTTTGTATTTCAAAGATGGCACCTATTAAATGGTGTGCAATGAGGGTTTCGTGATGGTTTCTACTTAGCACGGGTTAAATGTGCAGTGAATTAATATGTCTTAGCCAGGGGTGCTGCAGCTTAGGAAGTTAGCAGCTATTTGTATTAATTACTATTTCAATTGGTTGAGGTTATTAGTTTTCTATTTGCCATACTTTGAGGAGTGAGAAATGTAGTACAAGGACATGGACAAACTTATTGGCAAAGGAAAATAAGAAGGAATGGAAAATAACCTGAAATTCTGTTTCCTTAAAATAAAAATATGATTTTCATTGCTTTTATAAAGTCGATTAGAAAATGAATTATCAGGCAAATTATCCAGTTCTACACATGCTCATTTTGATCTGACATGCATCAGTGACATGACTTTTTATATTAATTTCTGCAAATCTATTAATAAATTAATAATTTAGTGGTATGAAACACCTCAGTATGTCTCTACAGGTCATTACCTAATAATGTTGACTTTTGGAAACTTTACTTTTTCAGACTGACTTGACTTAACCAATACATGCTATGATGCATATGCATCTTGAATGCATATGCATCTGTAATTTGTGGATGTTTTCATGTATGCCAACAGCAAATTTAACAAGTGAGACTGTTTCATTTTCCAAATACCTTTATGTTTTCTAGCTTTTTTACACCTACAGTTGCACTTAAGACATTTTATCTTTCCAGAGTGTCCTGATTTCATAAGTTTTTCCTTTAGGATATTAGGGTCAGTTTTAGAAAGCACAGAAGTTAGTAGCACTGGATATAAAGAGGACATGGAGTGGAGCCTGTTGTAGAAAGGAAGCAGAAAACAGGGCAAACCTGAAGGTTGTTTGCTGAAGAACAACGTGGAACTTGTACTGATGAACTGAATCTTTTGGTGGCCTGTTTATGTGCTGGAGCTGGTGTTGGTGTCCTGCATGGGTGCTTGTGTCCTTAGGAGCCTCTAGCAGTGTCCTGCTGAGGACAAGGCTGTATCACTATAGCAGCTTGTTACAGGACACCAAGATGTTCAAGGACATCCTTGGATGAGTGTTTAGCTCCATTTTTGTATCTTAGTACAAAGTTTGAGTGCCTTAGCTTCAAGTGGAGCATCCACTGCCTTTGGGTCTTGCAGTCAGACTTGGATGTAGGAGAAATCTGTCTTTGGTAGAATCTCTCATATTCAAGAAGATTCAAGTGCCAACTGGAGCTTAATTATGTCTCTTCTGCATGGGCTCTTTAACTTCTGATAAGAAGCAAACTTGCACTGCAAAGCATGCCTTGTTTGAAAGATGTGTACTTGAAGGCACAAATCCTTTAGGAATTATTATTTCTATGTTCACACAATTGCTAATTTGGTAGGAAGAGGAAGATTGCATGCGTGATAGGTGTCATCTTGAAACATGAACATATTTGCTCGGCACCGTGTTAACGATTTGCAGGTCCTGTTGATACCAGATGGATTTGGATTTGTGATCTGTCAAGGAGAGCCTTAGTGCATAAGGTGTTCATTGAACTTCTACATTGAAGTTTTTCAGACTGTTATTAGGTTGTAAGAATGAAAGCAGCGTTCACAGTCTCTGCTGTCTTTTAATTGGTATTTGTCATCCTTGCTTGTTCACTCTAGCATGTGTTAATTTTATTCTTCTGATTTATAAGGTGTTTCTTATTCATGCTTACAAGTTTCACTGTGTTAAATGCTCAAAAGTAGGGTTGCCTTGTTTCCAGCATAAACCCACTCTGTGAAACTAAACATGTGTGTTAGACAACCCACATGGCCTGGCTGTATCACTGGCTGTAGCATCACTTTATTTCTCAGTGTCATTTCTCTTGTGCCAGGAAAAAATAAAATAAAATAAAATAAAAAAAAGTTAAAGACATTGAGAAGGGGAAGGGAACAGACTTTTCTGGAGGCAAAAGGAGTTAGATCAGTATTTTGATAACTCAAAACTCAAATTATCTACCTTTGTGCTCCCTGAGTGTCTGCGGTGGTTTTGCCAGCTAAATGGTTTTATATTCTTGAACTGAAATGGTCCTGTGGAAGGTGCAAATGGCAACATGCATCTCATGTTTGTTTTAAGCCATTCAAGTGCCGTTCGGGAGCATGGGCTCATCCAGGAGTGAGTGGTTGGGGTAGGCGCTTTGTAACCCTGCTGGTGGGTGATTCACTGCCAGTTTAAAAATTTGAGGTGAAGGACAGGCCTCCTTCTCCCCACAAACACACGCCCAAGATCCTTTTAGTTAGTAGTTACTATTGTGTGTGTTACAAACAAAACAGATCTTGGCTTAATATTGTTCCATAGTATAGGAAACACTGCTCAGTAAAAAATAAAGCGTTTAACCTGTAATGTGTCTTCTTAAAGAGCAGAACATATCACGTGGTGCAGTAAAGATTACATGAAGGGGTTTCCATTGCATTTAGTTTAATGGCAGGTGTCTAAAAGAAGGAAGCTGAATAATAGTATTTACTCTTGCTCTGCAATTCTGAACATAGGAAATAGTCATTGTTGATTGATGTTCTCTCTCTTGCTGGACAATGGTACAAACATAAGAACAACTGCCTTATGAGGTTTATTAGGCATAAATCACAGTGAGAGCTGGCTGGCTAAAACAGAAATGCTAACTGACACATTCAAAATATTGAACTTCTGTGTCTTTTTTGTGTTTCAGTTTTTCCTTTCTATGCTGGGAGGCTTTTTCATCCAGGCTGTATCTGACTGTGCTGAACTTCCACACCACATGGTAGTGGAAGTGTTCTACTTTAAAAAAATCATTCCAGTATGTAAAAACATATTTCATTGAATGGGACATTGGAGAGAAGTAGCAGGGCTTCAGAAAAGAGGAGCAAAACACTGAAGTGTTGGCTGACATAGATGATTTATGCATGATTTTATTAACCATCTTTATTTGTTGTGAAACATAGATGTATTTTTTTATTTAGGTGTATCTCACACTGCAAACAGTAGGGAAAAATGTTGTGTCTTAAGTGTTGAAGTGGATCCTTCAATCTCTGGTGATGTGTGTGTGAACTTATGTAATGAACATACATAATTGGCTAAGATATTGTTTTGTCTACCAGGCACAAATATGAAATATAGTGGGCCTACTATTTTCCACATAGATCAGCCGATGGTATTGCTGATTCCAATGCATTTTTAATCCGCAGCATACATAATGTGGCACTGCACTCACTTGGCATGGGAGGTGCAGTTTTCCAGCTCTTTGACATTTCTAGTTGGAGAGGTCCAAGATACTTTGAAACAGAGTAGCTACATTTTATTTTAATTATTTTTAATTTGGTTACTAAGAACCTATCCCAAAATAGATTAAAATGCTTCTTAAACAGTGGTCTCTCTGAGTCTCTTTATGTGAGTGTGCAGTTTCTTTAAATGCTAGCAAACCTAAACCTAAAAACAAAATTTGTTGTAGTGACTTTTTTTTTTTTTTTTGGTAACAAGAGCTAAAAACACCAAATACTGCACTAAAAACACCAAATACTGCCTTCCTGAGATCAGAAGATCATTTTAAAAGGGAATCTGAGTTGGCAAGATAATCCATGCTTATATCAGCTGCAGTGCTGTAGTACTTCTAATATTGTCAGTAATTAGAGCAGCAACTACTGCAACAGTATAGCTGTATGTATTCTGTATATAGCTGTATATATTCTGTCAGCTTCAGCTGCTGAGAGAAGTTGACTAGGAAGTTTAAAGTGACTTTCCTTTTATGTAGTCAATTTTATGTGGTTACCAGCCTGCAGAATGGGATGCTGCGTCTGCTTATATTAACATGTAAAAGGTGCTGTAAACATCATCATTTCTTCTGCATTTACTATACCACATAACTATAAATACCCATCTTCCTACTTCTACCTTCTGCTGAAGTAAAAGTCCATTTTCTCCGATACGTTAACATTGTGTAATTTCATGGGCTCGTTAAAGCCACTGTTGTTCCCTGGAAGCAGTTGTTAAAACACCCTGTTTTCCTCCTCTCCCCTCCAGGCTGACAAACTAAGGGCTGGAGACGGGAAGCGCATGGCCCAGTGGGAGACGTTCATGAAAGACCAAGAGAGCAAACGAGCAGAGGTGGACGAGGAGCACAGGAAGGCCGTGCAGCGCCTCAAGGAGCAGTATGCCCACATGGAGAAAGAACTGGCCAAATACGTTTCTTTTTAAGCCTCTTTTATGTGCCAATATCCAGCTGCTTCCGGCTCACCAAACTGAGATTCTGTTGGAAAGCTGAAACAAGTAAGAAAGAAGGAGAATCTCCTCCACAGGTTTGGTATGGGAAGCAAAGTTTTGCATACTTTCAGCTGAAGTGCCTCTCCATGCTCCTTCTGTTCAGGGTCAGTGGAGTGCCAGTATTTCTCAGTGTGTTGGAAGGTTCAACTGGAAACTGTATTATGTGACTACATCAGCTCACAGACGCCAGCTGGAGTTACTTGCCTGTGCAGACAGTATCATATCCCTAGGGAAAACAGAGCCTTATTTAATGTTAAATATCCCAGTATGCAATCACAGGCCTTGCCCCCCAAAAGTACATGTAATAATTTGCAGTTAAATATGGCTGGAGCCAAACTGGGAAAACTATAAATCCCATTCATGGATTTTGGGAAAGCCAGCTTGTGTTACAGAATACAGTAGGCTTTGAAAATTCAGTGGTGAAAAATCTCAGTGGGGTTGAAATCCAGTCATAATTCCAACTTTGGCATTTGCATCCAAAGTATTATGAAGTTGAGCTGAGATTTAAATGGTTCTTGGTAACATACCAGTACAAGTGTCTAAGTGACTTTGGACAGCAAATCTACTCATTCTCCCTCTCTCAGATCTCTCCTTTAGGCATTACTCTTCCAAGCAAAGGCAAAACAAGTTCGGAGGTAATCATGAGAAGCACATTGGTCTTTGTATTCCATTTTAGCTAGTACAGTGTTTATCTTAAATATTTGATGTGGCTTACTGTTGGTTTACTTAGCAGATAAGCTTGACAGAACTTTGTTAATTGATAAAGCAATAGAGAAAGATTTCTGTTTCTGTATTTGTGTTGCAAATCAGCAGATTAATGGTAAAACATCTGTAGTACCAATCTGTTTTCTTACTAATTCATGGAGTATGTGAGGCTCCTGTCAGTGCTTTCCTTTATTTAATACTTACATTTCACAACAAGGTAATTGAAGAAGTTAATCCATTCATTAATCAAGCAAAATGAGACATCATAACTTAATGAAATTTGCATTTTTGAAACAAGTTAACCCATAGTACAGGAAATATCTTTTCATGTTTTAACTGCTCTTTAGTATAGAATGGAAACAGGTAAAAATATGAAGAATTTGCCCTTTACCTGTGTTGCAGCAGCTCTACGCCAACAATGGTTACTTGTGTAAGTTTATGGCTTGGTGTCAAGGCTCCATTCCTGGCAGCATGTTGATAGTGTGATTAAGGTTAGTAGAGGAGCAGAAATAAGTATTTGAGATTTCTTTCAATAACACTGAATTCCTGCCAAGCTTCTCTGTCTGCTACTGTAAGCCCGACAGCTTCATCAATCATCGTCATGTATCTGGACTGAAAAGAGGACTTGCCGACACTGGGGCATGCTGGAATGTTGGGAATTCTCTGTTGCGGATGGAAAAAACCATAGATGTGTCTAAAGTATCCCACACTTGAAAAAGAGGAAAGCCTCTTTTTGAACAGCTCCCATTTAAATAGGAGGTGACTTTTGCAGTATTTTTCAGCTTATTTGCTGATGAATGTTATAACTAAGCTCAGACTTTCGTTTATGAATAGTTCTTGTTTAAAGTTGAGTCTGGAGTAGTTTCTGATCATTTTGAGGGCAAACTGAAGGTGACTTCTCTTTTACAAAATTTATATGTACCCAAAGCCCAAGTATGTTTATAACAAAATTAATCTAACTGTATTCTGAATGCATTTTATTTTTGCACTGATAATTTTTATTAAAATTTAGATATCTCATTAACCGTGCACTGGAGCTGTAGAACTTAGGATTCCTTCAGTTTGAGGGCTCTTAATCAATGATATAAGTCTTGCAAGTTGGATGTCCACTGGAAAATAAAGAGGTATTTCCAAAAACTTCTGAGTCTCGTGATTCTTTGAAAAGCTTCTTCTAAATAATGGTGCTGAAATATGTTTCTCTTTTAGAACCATACAGGTACTTTTGTGCCAAAACATGACATTTCTTCGTTTTCCGTGTCTGGTTCTTAGCCTGCTGTCATTGGGGGACTATCTGAAAAATATCCTGAATTCACGGACTTTCATTTTTTTTGTATACAACTGCTGTATTCTTGAGATGCTTTGAAATGCATAAATTGCCTTTGGATGAACTTGCTAACACTTAGACAAAACCTATTTTTCTGTCATAGTGCTTAAAAAAGAAAAAAAAAACTTGCTCTGTATAATCTCTTATGTCAATATCTGATGGGCAGAGAAAGGTCCCTCTCTTCAGCAGTTCCCAAGCGAGGTGAGAGCGTGGTCAGACCGGACACCGTAGTGCTCCACGGCGTCCTCGTAGGTGTCACGTTCTGGATCCAGCACAGAGTCTTAACCAGCTGGGGGAAATGAGGTAGTTTCAAAGTTGGTTTATGCTGTTTGTTTATGGAATGATTTAATCCCTGTCAAACTTGATAAAAGTTTGCATTGGTCCCTATCGAAGCTGGATTGGATGTTTAGCGTTTGATTAAATTTCTAATGCTGGAAGTGAGTTTTGCAATCCTTCCTTTCACCAAATTATGCATATAACTTTTTGTACTACATTCTTTATTATACTGAACTGTGCTTAGTAGCTAGAAGTGTGTTTGGTGTCATATAATCATTGGAATATTCATGTTTCAGTTCTAACATATGCACAGCGATAAGCAGGTGCTTTTTGTCATATGAAAATTAAGAGTAATAACTAAGTAGTTTAAGAATTAAAGTTTCGTCTATTGCCATCTTGCTTTAAACATTTTTAAACTATCTCTTTGGGATATATTGCATTTCAGGTCTCACTTTTTTATTTGGAGGAGAGAGAAAGCTGATTTATTTGTTCTTACTGTGCTTTCTATGCTAATACTGGGTAATATTTAATACTAACGTTAAGTAATAGAAAAAAATCCATTATTACAGGCAGAGTTTTGGGCATACTCTGCCATTTTCATTTATGGTTTGTAAAGGTTTTCCTCAAGCACTATTTTTTCATTAGACAAATTAAATTGAAAATAAATGGAGTTATCATCTGTTGATGACTGGTTATAGTTGCCTCCCGAGCTTCTGTGTCTGGGCTATGACTTGAGATTGCCAAGTTTTCCCCAATAGGTGTCAGCACAAGCCCATTCGGGAAAGTCAGGAAGCGCCGTCCGTTCCCGTGCGCGATCTGCACAGAAAATCTTCCTGCCCTTGGGTCTCATGCAGGATTTGGTGTAAGTGGACCAAATGATATTATTAAGATCACCAGGCACTATATAAATCATACTAAAATGGTCTTTTTTAGCCTTTCTGAGAAATGTCGGGGCGAAATACTGTTGACGAGTAGTGTCATTTTTGTGCATGTCGTTTGATAGCATCTGTAGTACTCGTGTCTTCTAATTAGGGTCTTTCATAGGTTAAAGTTAGACTCAGCACCAGACATGAAAACCTTAAACTGCCGCCTTTCATGGCTGCCCAGGGCGTGGGATCGAGTTTGAAGAAGCGATTTGAGACAAAGGGTTGTGCTTGTTGACGGAGATCAGGCCAGAGTAAAAATTGAGGACATTATAAAACTTTTAAACAGGCCAATTATTATTATTGTTTATCTTCTCAAAGAGATAAAGATACAGTATACCCGGTACTGCTAGTCTAGCTTGCCTTCTATTTTTGAAGATACAGTAGAATCCAGAGGAAAATATGATTGCAGCTACTGTAGCAGCATTTTAATGAGTAATACAGCTTTCATAAATCATTTAATCATAAGATTATTCAGAAATTCCAAATAATTTTTGAGTGCACAATTTATAAAGGAAGTATTATATGGGATTTCTTTCAGCAGCCCTGGGCAGTATAGTACTCTATTCAGTTCTGGAGGGTGCTCAGTGTTAGATGCAATACCTTCACAGTGGTATAGGTGGCAGTGTTACGTGTATATGTAATGAGCAAAGTAATGACAACTTTATTGAAGACAATTATAGGCTTATCTTTTCCATCGCCATAGAAAGTCTGAAAGGAGATCTTCATAAAGCAAGATGATATTTTAAATAAGATGCAAAACTTAAGTGAATTTGTATGGATTAAATGGGCAAATACATACAAATATGTATGAGCTCCTATGTAGAAAGGGGTGCAGAAGGAGCAGCCTACATTTACCGTACTCTTTTTCTACCGTATGCTGTATTTGGTAAGGTTGTGGTTTGATAAGGCTGTCCCAACACTCCAAATTTCCTGAAGAAGGGCTTGAGAAATCTATTGAAGCACTACCAGAAAAAAATGTCCAGGTAGTGCACAGGTTTGGAAGACACTGCTTGTTTTTAGGAAGGTAGCTCATTTTCAGAGCTCAGTAGTAAAAGTCTTGCTGAATATCCTGGTATAGGAGGAAACTGCCTGGCCCGTCAGCCTGTGTTGTTAGGAAAAAGCTTGCAGAAGCCCTTTTAAAGTTGTGGTTCTGAAGATCAAGGGCTCAGCTTTGTGCATCCTGACTAGGATTCTAGCACAGGATCCACCTAAGTGTCAGACTGCCACCTTAAAATCCTCTTTCGGGGCCAGATCTGAGCCCTGGGCGGTCCTGATTTTTTTTCTTCACTGTCTGTAAAAATTACATGTTGGAGAAAGCTGACCAATGTCAGCTGCCAATAAGATCTTTCAGGACGATTAAGACTACATTAAAGACTGGTGGGATAGTAATTTTAATCCTTATTAAAGAAATTCAAATTGAAACTTACATTTCCACAGTCTTTTTCCCTAATAGCTCACTGGGTGGATACAAGGAGACCTGCAACTACATACCACTGTCCTTTGACAGTCAATGCATGGAATGATGTAATAAAATTGGAAAGAATCAAAGCAGTTTTTGTGTCTTTTACTTACTAATCATTATCAACATTTTGAGACTAACATGACCTATAAATTTATCTGGCACTTTATGGTATATGATCCCTATTCTGTAACCAGGAGGTCAAAAAAACGTTTTGTTCTTGGGCCGCAGCAAACGCTGCAGGACCTAGATGAGCATTTTCAGTTGTCTTTGTGAGTTAATTATGAAGTAAATTTGTAAATATGCTTTGCAAAGCTTGTAGGCTGATGCATAACCAGTGCTTTCCCAAACTAGGATATGCAAAAATACCTATTGTTTTAATATACGCTCTAGGTTACGTACAGCCTTTTCAGTAGCTTTAGCTTCTGAAAAGTTAGTTCCGGATTGCTTGAGGTCATAGGAAGCCCTTTATGAGTGGACCCAAGTTTGTCCTTTCCAGATGTTTTTAGGCCTCATGAAATAAATTCCGGTTCCTGAAAATCCTCTCTCCAGATGGCTCTAAGTCTGTTCCAATATTTACTATGTCACCTAGAAAGCTTCTAAGCTGAATTACATAAATAGGAAATACTGTGCATCCCTCCAAAGTACTATTTTGAAAGAAAATCGAGTATTTCATTAAGCCAAAGCTTTTCTAAAAAATAAAAACTGTAAATAACATTGGTGATCTGTAAAGTTATCACTTTGATTTGCAAACAACTAATTTGTTTGGAATCTCAAGGAGAAATTGGCCTTTGAAGTATCAAAATCTTACTGTGTTCAAAAAAATCATCAGAATAAACAGCAAGCACTGTATTGCAAAAGTGGAAGAGCACAATTGGTTTGGCTCATTTTGTGAGTGTAAGGCTCATTGCATGTGCGTGTGCCTATGAGAAGAAGGCCCAAACCCTCTCCTCAACAGGGCATCATTTCTGAATGCCAAAAAATATACCTTGGGTGACCAGGATGTGTGGTGTTCTGAAATTTTGTTGCTGATGTAGCTTGCAGGTGGTACAGCAAATGCAGTTTCCTTTAAAATATCAGTGAACAGATAGTTTTATATAAGAGGAGATCTGTTTAATTGTTGGCTTTTTGTTTCTTGACTGGATGTTGAAGTAGGGAGGAAAAGTAGCTCCCTACATCACGCTGCTATAGGATGATCATTGGTATTTTCTATGGTCACCATCCCACAGGGATCACAAAATGTGAGAGCTTTCTCCAACTTCGCTTTGTTCTTTCAGATTCTTCTGTTTGTTCTTTTGGTTTTAGAAGGTAAAAGTCATGAAGAAGTGTGATGTGGTAAAGGTGGAAAAAGAAGTGTCACAGCAGCATCTGAATGCTTTCCCTTTGTTCCTTGCAGCCTCTTCTAAAGAAGAAATGGTTGTTCCCTCTTTATACTTTTTCCAGGACCATTTTAATCAAAAACTAAATTGAAATCCAAAAATTGACTTGAAATTTGGCCACTGTCTTCAGTCAGAATAGAATCAGATGTTGAACCATTGCCCCTGCTGTTAGGAGTTTCGGTGCTGATTGTATTTTGTCTGTCTGCACAGAACTGGACTGAGACCACACAATTCTGCAAAGAGGTTATCCAGCAGCTATCATATTAGTGCTACTGGAGGTCATTGCCTTAGTATGCTCCCTTTGAAATGCCTGCCATAAAGAGAAACTTTAGCTGAAAACTATTTCCAAATAATTTTCACACGGTAAGAAATTATTCTTCATATATGATGTGATTTCCACGTGCACCTTCCCCATGCTTTCAAGTTCCCAGGCCAGTTTGTCCCACAGAATCCAATAAAAAAGTCTAATTTCTCCCTGGGGCCTTTTCTGGTCATGTTTGATATCACTTAACATAATAAGCTTTTAACTCCCACATCATAAAGGGTTTTGTTTTAGATTTCTTTTTTCCTCAACACAAAGTGTTGCTTACATCCCTTCTAAAGAATGCTCTTAGTTATGCAAAATGTGGACAAGTTGTCTGGGGCCAACCTCTTATCTACACCAGATTCAAAAAGTCTGCTTCAGTGCAGTGGCTTAAACCGCATGTTTTTGCTGTGTTTTGTTTCTTTTAAAAATATATATGTATGTGTCTTGTTAAAAAACATTGCTGCCCCCGTCTAGGAACAATGCAACACTCACATCATTTCCTGAAAGAATAGAGTTGGAAGGCAATTATCTACTCACCAAACAGACTAAAACAACAGTTCCTGATATTCTTCTCAAATATTTCAACTTCCCAGGAATCCGGAAAAAATAATTCCATGAGACGGTGTTATGAATGAAGGTATGACATTCCAGTTTCCTTCACTTAGAATCAGACATCCAGAGGTAATAAATTACTGTGCACTTGGCACTGCTGAGAGTGAGGTCTGGCTGTGGCAAATTGTTTTTCTTTGTAGCAGGAACAATGAAGTGCTTTTACATCCTTCTTTGTCCAGTGACAGGCATGGTTTCTTTCTTAATGGTCTTTCAGCAGCAGTTGCATGAATTACGTGTAGAAGAAACAGGAATCTGACAGCAAAGTACCTGGAACCAAACTTGCTTAGAAATAGGAAACTGTAACAGGGATGCAGGTTTTGTCATTTTAGCTCTGTAAAATAAACTTGGTAAAATAGCATACGAAGTGCACCATAACAAGAAGTTAACTTGAAAAAAAAAAAAATAACTAGTGAAAAATCATCTTTACCCTGGTCTTCTGTATCTCAAGGGAAGCTACTTTGAGCAGCATTGTCCTGGTCCCATTTCTGTCTGCCTGAAATGGCTAGCTGCAACTGCTCTCCTTACGCATTTCATGTGATCTGTCTGGATAGTGCGGAGGAAAGAAGTGTAAATGTCCTGAGAAGCAGTCAGATACTGCTTTTGCAGGTGCTCTTAAGTGCTTATTCAGTTTATTCATCGGTTAATTCATATGTCAATAGTACTTAGATGGGGTTATAAATCTGGATCATTTTATAGACATCCAGAAAAGTGAAATGCTGCTTCTGGCAAGAGAGTTGACACTCTTGGAAGACTTCACTAGTGGTATTTAGTAACCAAGAAGATTGAAAATATTTCTGAAGAAGCATTTATTTACATCACAAATGAAGCATTTTGGTAAGGTAATATGGAGAACTGTATACTGTTACATTAATTTTGACATCTGATTGCAAAATCAAAGCAAGAAAAAGCAAATCAGAGCATATGAACATCAAATACTCACAAATCACAGAATAGTACTACTTCTTGTTCTTGCTTCTGGATGCTTTGAAGAAAGTGGTCTTACATGGGAAGCATATAAAAACATATACATTATCTCATTTAAAAAAATAACAAAAGAGGGACTGCCAATTTAATTGAAAGATGTATGTCTCATATAGCTCTTACTAGTTGGAGTGAACTTGACTGAGCAGTCCTACCATGTTCAAAGGAGCTAACTTTATAAGCAGTTGGCCAAAACAATCTAGACTCAAAAAATGCATTTGCGTCTATCCATAGTACATTCTGTTTATGCCCGGGAAATCAGAAGGATGAAATCTTGTTGAAATTGGTAGCAAAATTCCTATTAATTTAGTAGATGGCTAGGATTTATCCTGTGTTTCTGTAATAGGCCATGATCTTAAAGACGCAAATGGTACTTGCATAGTAACACTCTTTAATAGGAACACTCTTAATTATGTTCAAAAAGTTATAAACTAACATTTATACTCACTATTTTCATGCCACCTAATTTTCATTAGATTTTCTTTAAAAATTAATTTACCTTTGCAAGTTTACATTTAATCTATTTCTTCTTTGCGGAATAATTAATATTATGATTGTGTTTACTGTGTTACACTTGAACTAAATCACCACAACTCAGTGCTTGCTTTTTTTTTCTTCTTTTTTTTTTCTTTTCATTTTCTTTTCTACCCAACAGTTTAAAATTGGGGAGTAGATCACAGGAATGAGGCAAATGCCGTTAGTGTATTTCATAGTTCATGCCATTTTGTAAAAAGAGCATCAATCTGTATTGCTACTGGCTGTAAGGTGCAGAAGATAAGCTTGCCAAAATGCCACTGTAGACCAGCTTTGTGGTAATGATTTTTGCATGTCATATTTTGCATACAGTGATCTTTGTATGAACCAAAATATAATAAAGCTAAATTTACTTCAAAAATCTTTCTTTTTCCTATCTGCCAGTTCTGGAAGAAGGAATGGGAATACAAAAGTGAAGTTATTTTCATTTTGTGTTCTGTACCATCACTTGTGGTATGGTTGTAGGCTAACGTTTTACACAGTTATATTGGTGGAGCTCCATAGGCTTCATTGTTATGACTGATGACCAGATTCAGCCTTCCAACAGGCTTTATGGTCTACTTTTTAAACATACTCTTTGGCATCTTTTCAGCTCATTGTTGAGATGGCAATGTAATTTTAAAAGATTTTTAAAAAAGTAAACTCCTGCTATTAAAACAGTTCAAGTAGTCATTAAGCTGGTAACAGACATATAACTGAAAAGTCAAATACTTACAGTATAAAACATTGTTTCAGACACCACCTTTCTCAATTCTAAGTCTGTAGCTCGTCTGTATAGTACAGTCAGTGTGCATGGGTTCACGTAAAGATCTATACACAAAGGGTTAACTAAAACCCATCAGACCCTAAATGCATTATAGAATCATAAAGATGAAGCCCTTTGGTCAGAAGAAATTAAACTCAGTGGTAGACTGCTAAACAGTAGAGCAGATGACTGAAGTTGTAACATGCTTAAAAATAACTATATTGTAGGATATGTGTTCCTGGAACCTTATGCAATGATTTCCTTTAATCATATACAGAGTGAGGTGTATTATGCATTCAGAATACTTTAATGTCTGCAGAAAGTAGTATTTTCACTTTTTATTTCATTGTAAAGTAATTTAGTCACAAAGCCTCAAAATTCATTCCATAAAACTGAAAGGAAAATAAAAGGTGTTAAAAGCTACTCCTTTCCATCAAGTGGCTGAGTTGGGCATGCAAGTAATTTTTTAATGAATATCTCACCAGATTGGCTGCGTGTTGTGTTAACTGTAATATCTCACTCTAGGATGCCAATTTGTGTAACCTATGCTGAGCAGAAAAAAGAGTAAAGCCAAATAGCCCTAGGGATAGTGGTACTATATATATATGTATATTTGTATATATAGAAAGAGACAAGACATGGTATTTGAAATTATACTCATTTCCTGTAATTCTTGCTATTGAATGTTGTAAGGAGAAAAGCGATGAAAGCTAATATATATTCAGAAAATATTTTTCTTTCACCCTAACAAACGTATTTTTGTTTAATTTTAGAACAGCGTTCCAGCCAGTATTTAAAATAATAATTAAAAAAAAATCTTTAAAAAAGTTGACTTTCCGGGGGCTGATGTGTTGTCAACTGGTGGCCAGATACAAGAGCAGACTTTCCCCAATTAGCAGGTTGCGTGCCCCATCTGGTTGGCCAACTTCACTGTTTATGCGTCCTACACGTTACCGCAGTCGAGACTCAAAACAGTAAATGCCTCAGAACACCAAAAGTGCCAGAAGCCACCTTATTTTTGTTGTTATTTTGTGTAATTATACCTGGGAGGACTGGAGAGTTCTAGTACTTTTTTTTTTCCCCTCCTTTTTTATGACTTGTTTTTTGCGTTTCATAAGCTCTTGGCAAGGGGTACAACAGCTGCCTTTGCACTTGCGGGAGAGGAGATGGTCAAGGACGAGCAGTCCGCTCTTTCAATGTGCATCATGCCCACGATACGGTCAAGAAAATGGGCATCAGGTGTAGGGCCTTCCTGTGTGCGATGTGACCACCCCTTGGGAGCTGTTTCCTGGCGGGATATAGTCACTTCTGGTTTCTTTCTTCTTTCATTTCTGCGCGGTGCTAGTCTTCATAATCTTCATTGGTGTCCTCTGAGGTCTGACATTCCTAACCATACCTCATCCCTGACTGTGCTCTCCCTCAGTAAAGCTAAATCAGAGGTTGCCAGCTGAGTTCTTAATTTTATTTATTTATTTTTTAAAATATGAAAAGGTCAACTTGTTTTACTTTATGGTAGAAGGTCTAAGACTTTAATGGAAAAGGTGGATATGGAGTTGTTTTCATAGAGTTTAAGTAAGGCTAAGCAGAGTTCCCCCAAGGTTTGTACTAATGCTGACACAGTTTGGTATTTGATTTGGAGAAAGACACAAACTGTGGGGTGGTAAAATCAACAGATGACAAAAAAATTCAGTCACATTTAGAAAGCATGAGAAGGAAAAGTAGAAGGACCTAACAATGAGCAGAAAATCTGACATTGTGATGGAGTTTTGATCACAATGTCATATGATTTAGAGAGCAGTTTGGACTGTTCATGTATACTAGACTTTGAATTTACTAAATCATTTAGGAAAAAAGATGTTCATGTTGCTGAGGAGAGCTGAGCAGTGTTGGCTGTAAAGCAAATGTGAGAAATTAGGTAGTATTAAGATAAAAATAAAGAGCAATAACAAAAAAACAGTTACTTCAACTCAGAAGGTCTATCACTGAAATGGAAAAAGACCTAGGGAAGAATAATGAAAATAAATACAACTTTGGAGAATTAGCCTTAAGAGACTTAATCTGGAAAGGAAAGAATAAAGTCTTTAATACAGTAATGGTTCAGAGAAAGTAGTGATGTGTCTACTCACATTTCTGTATGATTCAAAAATAGAAAGAAAAATGTGTTCTGTTTCCTTATTTTTACAAATTAAGGAATTAGCTTTTACATAACATACAATTGATTTGCAGTCTATACTACAGGTACTGACTGACTGATCCTTTCTAGATGAAACCTTCTGGGAAAGTTGCCCATACTAAATTTAAAGGACTCCACTTAGGAAACTTTCCTTTGGCTTTTAAAGCAAATATCATCATAACCTTTCCTAACTTGAGTGCTATGCTTTGCACACCACTTTCTTACATAGATGAGAGCATTTCATTAGATCCTTAGCTGTAGATATATTCTTTATATGAGTTTTGTTTATGCAGACGATATCTTTGTCACTATATACTTATATAACAAGATGTCTAATTCATAATTAGTTATGTAACACAGGGAATGCCTTTAATTTAGTTTTTAAAAATGTATGCTATTGCATTCTTTTTTCTTTAAGAAGAGGTCCTGTCCTGTTTAAGGTTGTTGTATTTCAGACACAGATGTATTCCCCAAAGTACTTAGTACTTAGAGGAGACTCAACATTGCTAGTCATCTTTGGCTTTGTTCCAGAGTTAAACTTGTCAGTTAATATTGGATAGGAAGAAGTACAGTCCAACAAAGTGTCATTTGCAGAAACACCCTGTTGCAGATAAGGTGTCCTTGGATCTTCCATGGCTTTTTTGTACAGGGGTAACTACATATGGTATGGTGGCTTGAGGCAGAGAGAGAGAGAGAAAGAGAGGGAAAAAGGATGTGCTCTTAGGAAATTACAAAGAATCCTTTTCTTCCTGTAAAGCAAATATATCCACACCATTGGACAGACTTTCTGGGGCCTTGAAATGAAAGACAAGCTGGTGGCTGCTGTCTGTGCCAAACTTGTAATGCTTTGTTGCTCCTTCTTAGTAAGAGCTCACTCTAAATAAGCCTTCTATCTAACCAGCATTGCTTTTGTGGGGTTTACTACTCTGTGGGGTAGCAGGGTTTACCTATAGGCGATTTTGCTTCTAGCTTTCTTTGTAAAGTGTAGTATATCTTTGCTTTTATTTTAACATCATGGAACTGTGATACGGTTGTGTGGGAACCAACAGTTGGAATATCTCAGTGCGTGAGTTTGGTTTCTGATCATAAGAGAAGCTGGAAGGAGATGTGGCTATGGACATCCCTGTTACAAATGAGGGCTTTCCCAGTGCTGCTGCAAGAAAAGTGGCACTACTCCCATAGGCACAATGAGAGCCAAGCAACCTCAGGAGTGCTGGGCTTTCTTTTTGATGCTGTTATCAATATAATGGTACTTCTGGCCAAATCCTGAGGGCTACTCCAAATAAAATCTTCCCTTGCCTATAATGGGTTGCTGTTGTAAGGAGAAAAGACAGAAATTCTCTCCTAAAGAAAACCACCTTGCAACCCCCAATCCAAGTACCCAAATCTGATAATAAACTTCCACTTCACCCCAAAGAAAATTTTACAAGAATTTAATACTTAGTCTTGAGCTTCCTGCAGAGCAGCTGGCTCAGACTTCCTGACAGCAATAGGGTACCCGGTAGATTATGGTCATTTTTTCAGTTAACAATGGTACATTCTGTAAAGCAGAGAAGTCACAGAATCAGAATAAAATATATGAATTAATAATTAAAAATAACCCACCTTCGGCAGCAACAACATAGAAAATACTTTCCATGCTATGTAAGTAACGCATCAACATTTAAGCTGATTAAAATTTGATAAACTACTAACTTCCCCATTTTTTGATAGGAAGGCTGGGGCCTGAGATAAAACAGTGTCATGCAGGGGAGAACAAACATCATAGCATCCAGTAAACTTTTTATGCATTTATTT